TGCCTTGCACACGGCCGACCCGGGTTCGATTCCCAGCATCCCATATGGTCACCCAGGTACCACCAGGGGTAATTCCTGAGTGCATGAGCCAGGACTAACCCCTATGCTTCACCGGGTGTGACCCAAAAAGCTAAAGAAAGGGAAAAAAAAAAGAAAAAAAACCCAAACATGTTAAAAAAAAGAAAGAAACTAGAACAGGGGGCTGGAGTGATAGCACAGCGGGTAGGGCGTTTGCCTTGCACGCGGCCTATCCGGGTTTGATTCCCAGCATCCCATATGGTCCTCTGAGCACAGCCAGGAGTAATTCCTGAGTGCATGAGCCAGGAGTAACCCCTATGCAATGCCGGGTGTGACCCAAAAAGAAAAAAAATAGAAACTAGAACACAGTTTACTCAAAGGTTTAAGATGACACTTCCGTGTGTTTCCAAAATTCTCTCTTGTCACTTCCTTCTTTCAGACTGCCTGCATTTGCCTCAATCTCCATTTCGGTCTCCTCCCTTTGATGGTATCCCTCATCTCTGTTTAGGGACCTCTGAATGATCTTTGCCTGAGACACTGTTTCCAGGCAGTAACTGGGATCCTTTCTAGTTGTTCCCAGGGCTAGGGCAACTCTCTGCAGAAGCAAAAAAAAAAAAAAAAAAAAAAAACCCAAATGTAAGTGTGTAAACCCACAATAAAAACTACATCTTGTTTTTTGACGTTCAATTTATCATAATCATAATCAAAGATACCCAAAAAGACCAAGTACAGCAGTAGTAAAGCTTCTTGAAAATCTGCTCTATTGAGTTGGTATAATGTTTAATTTCCCATGACTTAAGTGAAGGACTTTTGTTGCACTAGCACTCACTGCCTTCTTATTAGAGCTAACAGATTTCACAAGGTTCTTTTTTTAACCTTTGTTAGAACCACTACTAGAATATTTACAATCACATATGTGACTTGCTCTACTGCTTCAGGTAGCCAGTCCTCTTGTACTGATAAATCCTGCTTCACCTCTCTACTTTTGATTGCAGGACTCTGCTTTCCTCTAGTTTTCCTACTCTCCCACAGCATCTTCTCTAACTCCTTTTCTGGAGCCCTAAATCTATTATTTTGCTACATGTCTCACAGGAGTGAGGCACTGGGTTCATTTCTGGTACCACAAAATAATGATAATAAAATAATAATACCATTATTATTACAGCACTCTAAAATTTTAGGATGCTGCAAATCTCCTAATTTCTTGCTAAACAACAAATTCTTAGATACTATCTGCAGAGATCTTGTTACATTCCAACTAATTTTGAGCTCTCATCTTCCAACTCAGATTTCCATTATCTGCCGATTTTTTCTTACTGCCTTCTTTGCAACTGTGCATCTTTACTTGGTTATCTCAGAATATACATATTCAATATTTAATTTCTTGTCTCCATTCTCCCTAACTCATTCCTCCTCTCATCTTTCCATTTACAAAAGCTAGAACCCTAAAACCTTTGTTCCCTAAATCATCTATGAATTCCAAACAAATCTGCTGAACTTTGATCCCTTCTCTGCTTCTTAATTCCCATTCAGAATGTCTCTATCTTAACACTATTGAAATTCTGATCCAGTTTGTTGTGAAGAGTTATCTCATGCAGTACAGGTTTTATTTGGTTCCCTTATCTCATGCTGTTAATAACAGTAGCACTCCCTTGTTGGGGAAAATAAAAATACTCCACACATTAACAACTATCTTGATGAGGATGGAAGAGGGTCATGTCAGATCCCATAGAGCCACTGTCTTAGCTGATTAAGGATTTCATTATTAATTACCTGCATTAGGGCAAGAGATTGCAGTGGACTTTTGCCTAAAAGTGCATCTACCCCATTTACTACACTCCTTATAATTTAATAGTTTTCCTTAGGATAAAAATTGAACATTTTCAACATGGCATATGGGGGCATCATCTGTCCCTCTACTTGCCTTTCTAGCTTATTACTACAGCCCTAGTAAGTTTCTTACAATTTCCTTAGGAATGGATGAAACTCACAATAGGTGTTAATATAGATTGTAGGTACACTGGTAGCTTAAGATATAAATGCAAAACTCTTAGGAAAGTTTATATGTGGTATAAAAATAAATCATAAAAATAAATCTTTCTTGGAGAGTCCAGCAAACTACTGAGAGTATCACCAGCCAGCCTGGCAAGCTACCCGTGGCGTATTCAATATGCCTAAAACAGTAACAATAACGGGTATCATTCCCCTGACCATGAAAGAGTCTCCAATACATTAGCATTGAGAAAGACAAATAAGGAGCGGCTGCTAAAATCTCAGGGCCCAGACAAGTGGAGACATTACTGGTGCCCACTCAAGGAAATCAATGAATAATGGGATGATAGTGAGACACTGACACAGTTCTAAAAATAAGCACATACTAAAAGAAACTTACACAGAATTACATTAAATATGTAGCTGTAATGGTAGTACAGTGGTGGTAGGGCATTTGCCTTGCAGGTTTGACCCTTGAACCACATATGGTCTGCCGAGTCCACGAAGACTGATTCCTGAGCCAGAAGTAAGTCCCCAACACTGCCAGATGTGATCCCCAAACAAAAAAGAATTACATTAAATATACACAGAAAATTAGAAAACTCTAAGGCATGGCTAAGTTAAAATAAATTTACAACAAGAAGGAAAAGAAGATGCTTTATAGTCAAAACATATGATGAATTATGCCATCTCCTGACTGACAGCTATGTCACCCCTAAACCAGTCCCTCACAGGTACCTAAGTGTTCAAACACTCTATAAAGAAATCCAAATAAAACCCGTGTCACGTCATCAGGAAAAGTCTATTGAGTCCTGTGGGGGCGAGCATACTTCCCCTGTGTCTGATTAACAAAGTCAGCCAATGGCTCTAAAAACTTCCCACTTGTGGATCTCCTGGTTAAAACTGCTGGTTCTCCAAAGCAGATGGAAAAGGTAGATAATGAAAGATATATAAACAAGGCATAACCTGTGATTTGGGTGGTGATGACTTTCCACGTACTAACATCCTATCCTGTGTGTCAACTTAATCCAGTTCTTTTCTCCTGCTTTAAATACAAGGTATTTATATTTTTTTAGTTTTTGAAATATTTTATTCTTTTTTTTTCTTTGCATGCCCCTTAATTTTTTTTTAAATTTTTATTAGTGAAACACCATGAGGTACAGTTGTAGACTTACAAATTTTTGTGCTCGGGTTTCAGTTATACAATGATCCAGTACCCATCCCTCCACCAGAGCCCATTCTCCATCATTTACATTATTTTTTTAATTTTTGTTAGTGAAACACCATGAGGTACAGTTGTAGATTTACAAATTTTTGTGCTCGGGTTTCAATTGTACAATGATCAAACACCCATCCCTCCACCAGTACCCATTTTCTACCACCACGGGTCCCAGTATCCCTCCCACTCCCCATTCCCCCATCCCACCCTGCCTCTGTGGCAGGGTATTCCCTTTAATACAAGGTATTTAAAGAGATTCAATATACCATGTTTTGGAAGCCTGCAGTTTTGAATCCTTGGTATCATTAAATAAAGATAGTTTGCCTAGTAGTTTTCTTGGAGGCAACCATTCCACCAAGTTAGTTTTTCTTATGGCTGTTCAACTCTAACATGAATCGCCTCCCAGAAGACAACTGCTTTAGCACCTATCATTCTATGGTGTTCATAGCCTTAAGTTTCTGTTCTGGCCTTTCATCATATCACACTGTGATGAACTCTACCCATTTCATGGTCTGTGAAATCTTTGAAAGCTGTAAAACGTTTTATTATTTTCAGCTCAAAATTTGGCAATGAACCAACAACAAAGGAGATGCTTAAAAACTACTGGACTGACTTCCAGCAGACAGATAAGAACGGTGGTGGAATTATTTTTGCCTTTCCCCATTCCCTATTTGGTGAGATGTTGTAGTAGTCACAGCAGAAAAAAAAAATTACAGCAAGTATGTAAACATTAACAAGCTGAATCTTGGTGGTTCTCATTTTCTTTTTTCGTTACTGTATCACTGTAAATGTATCACTTTACTGTCACTGTAACTGTCCTCCCGTTGTTCATCGATTGGTTCCAGCGGGCCTAGTAACATTGTGAGACTTGTTACTAAATTAAAACACACACACACACACAGTTTGGGCTTTTTCTCCCATCTCACCCCACCTTTAAAAACAAAATGGATTAGAGCTGAGCCTCTTCAGTCAAGACATCTCACAACACGTGGTTCCAAATTAATAATCGGCTTTAAAAATTAAGACTTTAGGGGCTGGAGCGATAGCACAGAGGTTAGGGCGTTTGCCTTGCACTCAGCGACCCGGTTCGATTCCCAGCATCCCATATGGTCCCCTGAGCAGAGCCAGGAGTAACCCCTGTGCATCGCCGGGTGTTACCCAAAAAGAAAAAAAAATTAAAACTTTAAGCACTAGATGGCATAGACAATAGGCAGGGGTACTTAAAAGACGAATTCATTCCCCATCCCCCACCCACCCAGTAAATTCACAAGCATTTCCTGGAGCCCACATTTCACTGAAAGTAATAAACCTCGCTGCTTTTTAAAGTTTACAATAAAGGAGACGCACTGGGGGAATATATTCCGGTTGAATGCTAAGAAAATAAAACGGGAGACCTTAAATAAAGTTTCTCTTCCTGGCGTCCTTTTCATTGATTCGCTTCTCCTCTAGGAATTAGGAGGGGCAAACATTTTATCATCTACAGCTGAGTTTTGCAAGGACAGCCCAAGTTAGCCAAATCTGTGTCTTGTAAGGGATGACTCCAGGGAGCTTTCAATTCCCTGTGCTCCGAGAACCAGCGACAAAAGTGAGTGAACTTCTGAAGCAACTATTGCCTCACCTTAAATCACCAGCGAGTTCGCGCCGCCCCGCCTTCTGCACCCAGAAGGCAACCAGGCTCGGGTCCTCTCTAGGCCGCTGACAGGCCTCTCTTTATGGTCGCCTTGTGCTTCTCTAGCCCCCGCTCGCCGTCCTCTCGGTGGTAACGCGAAGACGCGCTGCGAAGCGGCCAGTCAAGGCTTAGGTGCGTGGATTCGGGCGGAGAAGAACTCGCTGTAAGGTAGCGTGGGGCCCCGGGGAAGTTCTGGAAAGGATCGGGGATCTGGAATCGGGCCCCAGGGAGGAGAGGGAGTCTGCATGGTGTTTTGCAGGTCCCCGTGGGACGGCCCAGGCGCTTACCGGGGATTATCAGCAGCTGTTTGGGGCCTCCTTGGAGCCTCCTCGCCTTCGCCCCATTCATCTGCCACCCGTGCCAAGGCCTAGCATGTTCCCGAGACCGTCATGGCTTTCCCGAAGACTCGAAGCTCTCAAATCTGAGTTGGACCTCCACGATTTAGACGAGTACCTCTGAGATCGTGAACCTAATTATCCATAGCATTATACCTTCCTGAGAGCATAAATCTATTAAATGCTCACTGGACTTACCTGTTGGCTTGAAATACTGGTAAACTGAGCTAAAGGTATGATGCTAGTGACCCAGGGCTAGGGTGGAAGTAATTACAGGCACCTGGGTACGTTGGTTTGGAGGCGATTCCGCTTGCTGGAGGTAAAATTCACGCAGTTTCTCAACTTGTGTTTGTTTAGAAGATGCTTAAGTGTTCACTGAGTGCTCTGTCGAGCTGGTCAAGGGTGCCAAAACTGTAAACAGGGCTCATGTGATCTCTTGACTCGACAGATTTTAATATGTAACAAAAAAAAAAATAGTAATACAAGTGACAAGCCCATAACAAGGAAGTCCCTGAAGTTTTTCTTTTGCTTTGGATGATGCATAAAAGAACCCTGGAACTCTTGTCTTCCAGCAGTTGAGAGTAGAGGAAAAGTTTCCATAATCCAGAAAGTGTAGGAAAACTCGGGAAGAAGGAAGTGTAATATTGTATTTGAGTAACTCAGCACATTGTGGGTCACCCAGACTCTGCAGCTGTCTTGCTAAGTTTAGCATTGCCTGGCAAAGAAAGAGCCGTGGGCCACGAGAAAAAAAGACAAATAAAAAGACAGAGTATAAAAGCATTTTGCAGATAGTGTACTTAGACTTGCAGTGGTGTGTTGTTTGGAACAAGTATCACGTGTAATGGAGCCCACTGTTTTTAGAAAGGTCTTAAGGACCTTTCTAAAGGCTTACGGCTTAGTTTCACAAGGCTAGCCCAGCATCCACTGTTAACCAGCAATTTTGCTGCGATTTGGAATTAGGTAAAATGACATTAGCTTTTGCTCATTCTTTTTGGTCACATTCGCATGAAAACTCTTTTGAAATTCCTCTTAATATTTTCTTTGACCTTAAGAACTTTCAGATATACACACAAATTGAAAATCGGGTTTGGAAACCTGAACAGTTCACCGAATTATTCCAAAAGTAGTCTGAAAGTACACTGGACTAAACGTTTATAAATCTGGGCCTAGAGTAAGTCATTAGCACCGACGAGATTCTTCACAGTAAAGGTGATTCTCTTACTGTTCTTTTTAAATTTAGCAAATGCTTCATTGAATTAAGAGTCACTCTCCTAGAGCTTGGAAACTGACCCTACCCTCTACACTTCGGTTATTGCATTTGTAAATAGGGATGACAAGACTAGTATTGTGAGGATAAATAGGTGTGGTGCTGTTTGTACTTATTGCTATACCTAACACTATAGAAGTTTATGCCAAATGCTCTAAATTCTGTTTTTCTCTTTTGTTTGTTTGTTTGTTTTTGTATCTGGGGCCACACCCATTAGTGCTCCCGGGTTACCCCTGACTGACTCTGCACTAAGAAATCACTCTTGGTGGGCTCAGAAAACTGTATGGGATGAGATAAGCCCCGCTCTGCAAGCACCTTACCCTCTGTACTGTCTCACCTGCCCCAATGTTCTCTGTTTTTCTTATTGATCCTTTCTTAGTCTCAATGACTCTTTTGTTCTGCTTTCAATCCGATAGGAGTCTTGAGAAAATGTACTGGACTTATAGAAAGCTTGTTAGTGATGTGTGCTCTTGTATGAGTTTGCTTAGAGTTTCTAATCCACAGCCATTGTGCCCAGAGCTTCTTTAACTGTGGGGTCACGGAACTTTAAAAATTCACTGTAAGGGACCAGGAGATAGTTATAGTGGTTAGTGGTTTTGATTCCCTGTGCCTCATCTTCCCTACCCTCCTCCCCAAGCATTCCCAGGTACATCTAGTTGTGGCCCTGGTAGCCCCCAGCACCACTAGGGAAGCCCAAGTATCACTGCACCTAAGACCTAGGCAGTATCGCATCCTCTGACCCATGCACTGAACTGCCCGAACCCCCCAGGCTACAACAGTGAGGCCCTTGAATAGAATACATTCTTTTAAATTAACTACTTAATGATTTATTGGCAGTAAATGTTTGATTTGTACATTTATATACCCACATACCTGGGATTGCATAAAAATTTCTCTGGCAACGAGAGGTTTTCACTAAGCCCTTCATTGTGTCTCATGTACCCTATAGCTGGTAATGTGTAGTGGCAAGCAGTAATGCGGGAAAACTGATCCCATGAGCTTGCTTTGTTCATACCCTGAGAGGAGCAAATGATTCTAATGTTGCACTGTATCTCTTTCATGCTCTCTGAATTCTTCTGTTTTGTAATATTGTAACTCTTCATCTTGGGGCTACAGACTAAAGTAAGTGTTGACCTTTCTAAGGCAAAAGAAGTTCCAAACTGCATGGACGATTCTCAAAAAATTAGAATTTGATCTCCCATTTGACCCAGCAATACCACTCCTGGGAATATATCCCAGAGAGGCAAAAAAGTATAGTCAAAGTGACATCTGCAATTGTTTGTTCATTGCAGCACTCTTTACAATAGCCAGAATCTGGAAAAAACCTGAGTGCCCGAGAACAGATGACTGGTTAAAGAAACTTTGGTACATTTATACAATGGAGTACTATGTAGCAGTTAGAAAAGATGAAGTCATGAAATTTAGATACAAGTGGTACTACATGGAAAGTATTATGTTAAGAGAAATGAGTCACAAAGAGTGGGATAGACACAGAAAGATTGCATTCATCTGGGGAACATAAAACAACAAAATGGGAGACTAACACCCAGGAATGGCTGAGATTAGTACCAGGAATTTTGCTCCATGACTTGGAGGCCAGCCACATGTGCTAGGGGAAAAGGAAGCTCAGATAGAGAAGGGCGCACCAAATAAAGGGTGTTAGGAGGATCCTCTCAGGACGGGAGAAGCATGCTGAAAGTAGACTATAGACCAAACATGATTGCCACTCAAAAACACAGGACCCAAAAGAAGAGAGAGAGAGCAAGGGGAAATGCCCTGCCACAGAGGCAGGGTGGGATGGGGGGATGGGGGGTGAGAGGTATGCTGGGACCCGTGGTGGTGGAGGATGGGCGCTGGTGGAGGGATGGGTACTTGATCATTGTATAACTGCAACCCAACACAAAAATTTGTAAGTTTATAACTGTACCTCATGGTGTTTCACTAATAAAAAAATAATAATAAAATAAAATTTAAAAAATTAAAAAGAAAAGAAGTTCCAAACTGCAAAATCTTTGCCAGAAGTTGTTACAGTGCAATTCCAGAGTTGGTAAAGGAGAGGCTTGATTCAGTAGGATTATTGCAAGGGGATGGAAGTAGAGTGCAATGGAGAGAATTCTTATTTGGTTTTGGTTTGCTTTGGTTTTCCCCTTTGTTGCTGTTGTTGTGATTTGCTGTCATGCATTTTTGGTAATGATGCTCACCAGTTGTTAAACACTTATCTGAGAATGATGGGGATGGGTGGGGTGTGACATGTATTTCTTTGTATTGCTGACATGCATTCTGTTTGTAGTATTGCTGGAGGTCACCAGAGAGCTCACACTCCTTTTGGGGGGCCACACTCCTAAACTTGGTGCTCACTGGGGATTGAGCACCTTACTTGCAGTGCTTGTGCCCATGGCTGTGTGCTGGAGATCTCACACAGTTGCAGGGCTTCCAGACAGCAGAACCACAAGAACTACCCTGAGAACCTGTGACCACTCCCAGGCATCAGACTCAAGACTTCACACTTTGAAAGCAGTTTCTAGCTTCTAAGTCATCCTCCAAACTTGGGTGAAAACTCTTTGACCAAAAAGGCCTAGCAGCATCTCACAGAGTAAAACTGACGGAGCTGATTGTAGGTCCAAAACTGTCTGAGCCATACAGTCTAGAAGGAAACTACAGCCTGTTATTAACTAAAATTCAGAGACCTCAAAGGAGAGGGACTTACAGTTCCATTAACAAGCATTTTATTTCAGTTGATCATTGAGGACAAGTAACTCATCTAATCATAAATTCATAATATATGAAGCAGAAAATGGGAATTTAGAGGGTCTTTGTCCTAGTTCTGGATTCTCACAGAATCATGGGGAAATATTGGAAGAATTTCTTAACCATGGGTGTTAGAGAAACATGAGCACAGGTCTCACAAAAGTTAGATGTGTCCAAAACATTTTTGTACTGTTTGAAAGGAAAAAAGTTACACAAATGAAAATTCACCCAAACATCTGTATAGGAAAGTTTTGGGAAACTCACTGACCCACTCAGAAATTAAATAAATGTCAATATTTATAAATCCTACATAAAGACAAAGTTTGAAGTACTTGAATACTTACATCTCATTGGTATCTTAGAGACACCTTCCTAAAAGGAAGCAAAACTAAGTCATCTCCAATAATCATGGGGTGGGAGGGATACTGGGACTGGTGGTGGTGGAGAATGGGCACTGGTGGAGGGATGGGTATTCGATTATTGTATAACTGAAACCCAAGCGCAAAAATTTGTAAGTCTACAACTGTACCTCATGGAGTTTCACTAATAAAAATTTAAGGAAAAAAAATTAACATAAAAAAACAGTTTAAAAGAACCTAAATAATTTCCTGTTGTTAGCTGTTGTTACTGGTTTGCATTTTATTCCATAAAAAAAAAAAAAATTTTTTTTTCCTATGAGGAATTCTAAGTATTTTACTGATCAGCATTGAAGCAAGTTACTTTGTTATTTTGTTTTCAGGATCATTTTCAGTAGCCAGAAAGATAGCTTAACTGGCTGGGTACAGGCTTTGCATGCTGAAGAGCTGGGCTTGATTTCA